GGGCAGAGGGTGTAAAGAATCTCGGGACCCAATGACTCTGCTGCTGCAGGGAGTGCAGACCCGGGCGGTGGTAGTATGTTGTCTGCACATATCGAGATGGAGAAACAAAATGGAAAGAGCAGAAGGTTTATCGGGAGGAATATAAGGTTGGCCACATTGAATATTGGAACAAAGACAGGAAAAGGTCAGGAATTAGCGGACTGCTTGAGGAGGAAAATCGACATCGCATGCATACAGGAAACACAATGAAAAGTCAGCAGAGGAAAATAGATTGGCTGTGGTTTTTAATTATTATACCATGGAACAACAGCACATCAAAATGAGGCTGGAGTTGGGCTGAGTGAGGAGATGAAGATAAAGGTGGTGGAAGTCAGAAAAGTGAATGACAGACTGATGATAGACTGGTACCGGAGAGTGGGGTTGTAAATGTGGTGTGTGCATATGCCCCGCAGATGCGTTGCAGTGGGCAAGAGAAGGATGCATTTTGGGAGAGCTTAGACAAGGAGTTTCAGAGCTTACCGGGAGATGAAGCAGTGGTGATGGGCGCAGACTTAAATGGAAGAGTGGGAAGAGGTAAGGACGGATATGAAAGGAACCATGAATTAAGCGGATATGACAGTAGGAATGGGGGAGGAGAGGACATTCTTCGAATGGCCCAGGCAAATGATATTGCAGTGATGAATACCTACTTCCAGAAGCAGGAGGGACATTTGATGACCTACCCGAGTGGAGAGGTGAAGAGCCAGATATATGTTATTTTGGTGAGGAGGAAGCACCTGAAAGAAGTGAAAAACTGCAAAGTGATCCCTGGAGAGTGTGTGACTGGACAACAGACTAATTGTGGCAGTTTGCGTAGTGTAAGGAGTTAGGAAGAGGAAGGTGAGACAAAATAACTATAGTAGGGTGAAGTAGTGGAGACTAAACAATGAAAAATACAACTTCTGCAGGCAAGCTATGGAGAACTTAAAAAGCGTAAAGCCTAGGGGGAGCATGAATGAAATATGGGAACACCTTGCGAGTGGAATACTAAAAGCAGGTAGTAGAGTGTGAGTGAGCAAATGAAGACAGATGCAACAGAAGAAAACGTGGTGGTGGAGTGATGAAGTGTCAAAAGGCAACAAGAGAGAAAAAGGCCAAGTTTAAGAAGTGGCAGAACACGAGAGAGAAGGACCATCTGTATGAATACCTGGCAACAAAAAGAGATGCAAAGCGAATGGTAGCAATGGAAAAAAACAGCATTTGCACAACTCTACCAGAAGCTTGACAGCAAATAAGGCGAGAAGATGGTATACCGTTTGGCAAGAGCCAGAGAGAGAAAGACCAGAGACATCGACCATGTGAATCTCGTTAAGAACAGTGAAGGACGAACAATCTTGGATGAGATAAAGGGTAGAGAGAGATGGAAAGAGCACCTTGAGAAGTTGCTGAATGTGGAAAACCCAAGACGCGAAATTGTTAAGGAACATCAAAGAGTAGAATTAGTTGCAGAGACTACAGCCAGATACTATAGCCAGATACTATAGCCAGATACTATAACCAGATACTATAACCAGATACTATAGCCAGATACAATAACCAGATACTATAACCAGATACTATAACCAGATACTATAGCCAGAGAAGAGGTGGTGGAGGCTCTGGGGAGCATGAAACATCAAAGAGTAGAAGTAGTTGTAGATACTCTAGCCAGAGAATAGGTGGTTGAGGCTCTACGGAGCATGAAACATCACAAAGGGAGTGGGGCCAGATGAGATTCCAATTGATGTGTTTAAATTAATGGGAGAAAAGGGTGTTTAAATACTGATGGGCTGTTTGGAAATCTGGATGGAGAAGAAGATGCCGGATGCGTGGAGAGAGAATACATTGGTTCCCATCTTTAAAGGGAAAGGTGATGTACAAGAGTGTGGTAATTACAGAGGAATAGCATTGATGAGTCACACCATGAAACTCTGGGAAAGGATCATGGGAAAGAGACTGAGGAAGCTGGTGGATATTGGCGAGAGACAGTTTGGATTCAGACAGGGAAGGTCAACAATGGATGGAATCTTTGCACTGAGAGTATTGATGGAGAAGTTCAGAGATAAGAAACGGGACCTGCATATGGTGTTTATTTATATAGAGGTGTACGACAGGGTGCCTAGAGAGCTCATATTTTGTGGTGTATAAGAAGAAGAGGTATTCCTGAGGTATATGTCCAGCTGATCCAGGATATGTATGAAGTGTATGAAATGTATGAGTGAATCAAGGTTCCGCACGGAGTCTCTTCCTGTTAATCCTGGTGCTGGACACACAAACGAGAGACATGCATGGTGGATGCTTTGCCGACGACATTGTGGTATGCGGTGAAAGCAGAGGGGCAATGGAAGATAATTTGAAGATCTGGATGCCAAAGATTGAAGGGAATGGGTTGAGGATCCGTCGGACAAAGATTGAGTATATGGTGGCAAATTTCAGTGGAAAACACAATCCTGCAGAGGGAGCTGGTAGTAACGTTGGGTTGCTCAGTCAATGACCAGGGTCAACGGCGGCGTGGTGTATTCCGCAAATATGCCCGACTGTGAGGGCGGGCACAAGCCGGCGTGAGTAGGTTAAACGTTGATACAGGTAGGAACAACAGGTTCCACACTGCCCACCAGGGATTATTTGTCTGTCATGCATCGGAATGCAGCCCACCCATGCCCCCCCCCACCAACCGCCGAGCAGGGCCACGATTGGTTGAGGATGTCGGGGAGGGTGGGGGGAAGGTAAACACGCCCAATCATCCAACTTCCGACCCCCCCCCCCCCAAACGCCGAGAGGGCCGCCATTGGTAGAGGTGGGGTGTAAACACGCCCACTCATGCAATCCCCTCCCCACCGAACACCGAGCAACGCCGCAATTGGTTGACGGTGTCAGGGAGGGTGGGGGGAAAGGGAAAACATGCCCACTCATCCAACTGCCCCCCCCCCCCTGAACGCCGCGCTGAGTGTGTGTGAGAATCTGAGAGTGAGAGTGTGTGAGTCTGAGATTGTGAGAGTGAGTGTATGTGTGTGTGAGTCTGAGAGTGAGTGAGTGTGTGAGTCTGAGAGTGAGTGTGTGAGTCTGAGAGTGTGAGCGTGAGTGTGTGTGTGTCTGAGAGTGTGAGAGTGTGTGTGTGAGTCTGAGACTGTGAGAGTGAGTGTGTGTGTGTGAGTCTGAGAGTGTGAGAGTGTGTGTGTGTGAGTCTGAGAGTGTGAGATTGAGTGTATGTGAGTCTTAGTTACCTAGAGTGTTATACAGGTAGGAGCAACAGGTTCCACACTGCCCACCAGGGATTATTTGTCTGTCTGTCGTGCATATCCGGAATTCCGCCCACCCATGCACCTCCCCACCGAACACCGAGCTACGCCGCGATTGGTTGACGATGTCGGGGAGGGTGGGGGGAGGGTAAACATGCCCACTCATCCAACTGCCCCCCCCCCCCCTGAACGCCGCGCTGCCAACCAAGTTCCTACCTGCCCACTCCGAAGGAACATGTTAAGGGCACCACGGGGTGAGCAGCCCCTCCCCACCCAGCCCCACCCCTCCCACCCTCCACCCAGCCCCACCCTCCCCACCCAGCCCCTCCCCATCCTCCCCACTCAGTCCCTCCCCACCCTCCCCACCAAGCCCCTCCCCACCCTCCGCACCCAGCCCCTCCCTCCACACCCAGCCCCTCCCCACCAAGCCCCTCCCTCCGCACCCAGCCCCTCCCTCCACACCCAGCTCCTCCCTGCACGACGGACGGACAATATAATCCCCTGTGGGCTGGTGTAACCAGGAGGTTACTACCAGTATAATGCAGAAATAGGATTGCAAATTGGAAGTGACCAGTTAATGAAGACGAACGAGTTTAAGTACCTGGGTGCAACGATGTGTGCTGATGGATCACTAGAACGAGAGATTAGAACAACAGCAAGAGCCTAGACCAGGGGTCGGCAACCAAAATAACAAGAAGAGCCATTTCTTTCCAATTCGGTACAAAATTCAGTATTTCAAGAGCCGCAATGCATCTATGTACATACGTACATATCGTCAAGAAGCAGCCCGTAAAGAGCCGCATGCGGCTCCGGAGCCGTAGGTTGCCGACCCCTGGCCTAGACTCACTCTATACGATGTTACGAAATATTCTACTGAAATTCAATCTTGATTTCTCGCCCACAATTCTTATTTTTGGATATAGGGGGAACGAGGGTACCAAGGATATAGAGAGGCTGACGAATGTTATCATGAACAACGCCAAACTGGCTATCTATAGGGATAGAAAATGCGCAATTGAAGGAAGCGGCTTCCCCAGCCACTGCCGCATGCATCTTCAAGGCTCTGGTTTCTGCCAGGATTGGGCTGGAATTTCGGTACGCTCAGTTGACGGGGGGTGTCGCATCTTTCTCGACGCGTTGGGCTACCGAGGGTGCTTTGTGTCATGTGACGAAAGCAGGGGATCTGGTGATGGATTTTTGAGGGTTATTTATTCTTGTTGGTGTCTATGAACACAGGAGCACACAATGGGATTCATGTTACACGGGAAACCCGCGTCTTATTTTTGATTTTAAAAAGGGGGCACATAAGCAAACCTAAAAAGAAAAAAAAACAGCGATGAACGAAGCAAAGTGCCGAAAGACCGAGTATCTTTGTTTTCTTTTGATCGTAAAGAAAAAAAAAGGAGGGAGGAGAGCCAGGCAGGGAGGGGGAGCCACGGAGGGAGGGGAGCCAGGGAGGGAGGGGAGCCGGAGAGAGGGAGCCAGGGAGGGAGGGGAGCCAGGGAGGGAGGGAGGGGAGCCACGGGAGGGAGCGAGGGGGGAGCGGGAGCTAGCAGGAGGGAGGGAGCTAGCAAGGGAGGGGAGACAGGGAGGGACAAAGAGCCAGCCAGGGGGAGAGAGGGGAGTCAGGGAGGGACGGGAGCCAGGAAGGGACGGGAGCCAGGAAGGGACGGGAGCCAGGGAGGGAGGGGGAGGGACGGGAGCCAGGGAGGGAGGGGCTCTTGTGACGCCACCGGGGAGGAACCCGGGCTCAGGGCGCGGTCACTTCTCCTCGCCGCGGTGAAACTCCGCGTAGAAGCAACAACAACAGCAGCACTGCGGGTGGCCGTGACCGAGCCAAAGCTTCACCCACGCTGTCAAGTGCCGAGCAACTTCGCCGTTTGCTGCTGCTGGCTCTGCTGTTGGTCGTGCTTGGTGCTGGTGCTGCTGGTAAACTTTCCCACTGTGACTTTGAGAGAGGAAGAGGGAGGGGGGCTCTGTGGTGGCGGCGGCAGCGGCGACGGTTGTCAATCCGGATGAATTGCACGCGAAGAAGCGCAACACGTGCCACCGATTGAGCAAGCGAAGCCTGAGACTGCGCTCACAACGCGGAGTGCGATTCGCGGTTCAATCGGCTCACAGCGGGGCGATGGAGTCGCTCGTCTTGCCGAGCACCTCGGAGCTGAGCACCCTGAGAGTCCTCGAGTCCCTGGACAGACTCCTGGGCGAAGTGGAGCTCCTGCAGCGGAGCCAGCGCGACTCGGGCCGGCGGCAGACGGAGACGATCGCCGCCTGCCATGCGATCGGGACCGACGTGAGGCGTCTGGCCCGGCTCGAGGAGAAGGGGCACGCGGCAACCCGCGAGCTTCTGGGCAGGGTCGCCGAGACGGGAGGACAGGTCCGGGTTGCCCGGGCTCACCTGCTGCTCCAGGGCCACAGCTTGTGCGCCGTGGCTCAGCACGCGCGGCTGCTTGGGCAGCGCAAGGCGCCGAGGATCCTCGTGGTGAAGGTGGGCGCCAATACCCCGCCCCAGGTGAGATCTTTGACGGGGGGCGGTGGGGGGGTTCGCTGGCTGGCGCTGTGTGGGATGTGGGGGGCACCTTGCGCCTCGCATCGAGAAGGACCCCGGGGCTCGATGCAGTTTTCCTCCCATAGATAAAAAGAAAAAATCCTCTTTGGCCGTAGCCAAACATCGCAATGCTGAAACGTAAAACTGCAAATGTTGACCCCTTTCCCGTTTGGGATGACAGCGAAAGCAGAAGCGAGTTGCACAGCTCAGTGGGGCCTTACCTGGTCAAATAACTAAAGAATGCGCCGTGTGTTGTCTATCGCTCTATCCATTATTCACTCCTATATCTCTCAGGCCATTCTTTGTGCTACGAAGGGTCATTGCTCGAAACGTCGCCTATTCTGTTTTCTCCAGGCCACATTTTTAGTTCACAGCGCCGAGATCATCCTGGGCTTCGATCCGGGTTTTAGCCGTCTGTGACTCAGCCGAGTTCTCGGTCACGGTTTGCGGGACGAAAACAAAAAATAAAACGTCGTTGAGGATTAGAAACGACAACAACAAAAAGATAGACTTGACTGCAATGCAATCGTTTGACTCGTGGGGTTTAACGAATGCGGTTTAACTAGCGTGGTTTCAAAAAAACCGAAATGTGCGATGCTGCTGTGTTGACAGTTGTGCGCAACCCCTGAACACAATTCAATGCATTTGTCAAGAACACTGTGCCCCTACCATTAGCATAGCTTCTGTTAAAGCCACTGTGTTATTGCTGAATGTGTCGAAGGGATCTAGAAGTAGTTCTGTGGCGTCTCCTTCCGCGGGGCCCTTCTCTAGCACATACATGCAAGAGGTGCGAATTGCGATGAATTTTAAAAGAGAAAAAAACATTTTGGTCCATCAACCCACGAGGCTTCTGGAGCAATGATTTTCAGAAACATTTGATTCAGCAATTGTTTAAGCCTGCAATGCAGGTATAAAGACAAAGATCACCCCCGTATAGCCTTCACAGAATGTTGGGGTAAGTGCTGTTAGCGAGGATCATCTATGAAAGTCGGCACCACGCCCGGCCGCCTTTGTCTCCCGAGTGGTGATGTTTACATATCGCACCAGCTACTCATTTCAGGCTGAGGTGACCTAGAGGAGGCCTAGGACCGGTTCAGATAATAGTCACTTGTGTTAGCCGCGAGCGGGAACCCGGGTCGCCTGTTCGTAGTGGAGCACACGCGCGCACACATTCTGAAGACGTGCAATGTCTTACCGGTCCTGTGTACAAGTTTCCGACAGAATAAGCAGAGAAACCGGATGAATGCGGTCTCTCACCGGTGCTTATCGCATTGACGCTGTGGAGCGTTACGTTGTTGCGGATCGCATTGGGCTTAGCTTCGACGAAATCACTCAGCGGCGCTTCGTGTTGCCGGCAAGTCCGTACCGGCCCGTTGCAGGAGAGCGGGGGGGGGGGGCGCAGCGCTCTGGCCGTCAATTCCTGGGCTGAATGGAATTGCTGCGCACAGGTGCAGAGGCAACGCCGCGCGTCTTGCTCGAGCGCCAGTGAGCTCATGGGTTTATTGCGCCCTCCCGCGGGGAGGTATCCCCTTCCCTGTGAGCCGGCCGCTCTTGTGAGATACGCGGCGGCGCCGCCACGGTGGCTAGAAGATGTTAACTCCCTCGCCTGGTATACAGAAGGTCGTGGGTTTGATCCAGACTCTGACGCCTGCTGTATATTTGGAGTTTGCTTGTCTCTTTCTCTCCATATTTAGAGTCAACTTGCGTTTAGAGAATTTGTCTGCGATACATTTCTTCGTGATAATCCATTTCGAATGTATGTTGAACTTCTTTCACACCGTACGTAGCCAACCGTGCTAATCGGAGGTACGACAAATAAGCTATCATTTGTGGCCAGGTCGCTTGTGAAAAAGAGCTATATAGCTCAGTGGGCCTTACCTGATAAAATACAAATAGTTTTAAATAGTTTTATCCTTTCCCCGTGAACCGGCTGCTCTGATGGGATATCCTCGCCCTGTGTACCGGCCGCTGGGTGGAGGGTTCCCGTTAGCCTGCGATGCTCGCTGTCGTTTCCACATCACACGGCAACATTCTCATTGCCGTTACGATCAATACGAAACAAATTACGTTGGCGATGCCGCCCTTGCTTTGCCAGTGGTGCACAATCACAACTAATAGTAATATTTTTAAACTTTGACACGTTCCTCAATAACAGTGTTTGTGTCCTTAAAAGGAAAAAAGTGAATGCTAGGCGACGTTTCGGGGCAGTGGCCCTTCCGAGGACCTCGCACGTCGTGTTTTGCAAGGAACCCATTGACTTTTTCATTAAAACAACAGCAAGACTCTCCCCTGTGGGCTGATATACTGTGCAGTGGCCAGCACAGCGGCCTATGTCTTAGTGTCCCCAGAGTTCGGTGGCGAGATGTTAACTACCTCACCTGGTATACAGGAGGTCGTGGGTTCGATGCCGACCCTGACGCCTGTATATTTGGAGTTTGCATGTTCTCCCCGTGGTCGCGTGGACTTTCCTCCGGGTCCTTCAGCTTTACCCTCCACGTTTAGAATCGACATGCTTTAAGAGTATTTGGCTCCTATACATTTGCACTTGATAAGCCACTTCGTTGAGCTATCATTTGTGACCAGGTTGTTTATGAAAAAAGCGGGCCTTACCTGGTAAAATAAAAAAATATATAGTTTAGTTTGGTGGCACCCTGCATTGCCCGCAGGGCATTACCAAAGCAACGTGCCTTGTGCCGGCAAGTAAACATGGAAGACCTGTGACGTCATCCTCTCATTGGCAGCAGCGGACGGTAACAGCTGCGGCCCGTTGTGCGTCAGCGCCGCAGTCCAAAATGTCACCTTTGCGATCAATATTTTTTTCACAAGTGACGTTATCCACTAAGTTCGCATGACAGCAGTGCCACAGGGCTCCCAAGGGAGAAGCCGATCCCAAAGGGGCTGGTCAAATAGCGGACCGGGGAAGCCCCCTCCTCCACCCTATTCTATATTTTTGAGCTCGGACTGAATCGGCTGGCATTCTGAGGCCCCTCCGTGACCGGTAATATTGGACTTGGGAAATGACCGAGGCGAGCCACAGCGAGACAGGCGGCGGGCATAAATCAGCTGCAGCATTTCCACAAGACAGATTACTTTCAGGGGCTGCTGCTATTATTATTTGTAAATTATAGCCTGGTCATGACTGCGGCAAAGGCCACGAACAATTGCCGACCTAATAGGGATCTGCATTGTTTTTGTACTGTCTGCCTTTTGACGTTCTCTGGTCTGACACTGGTGAGACAAAGCCAGAAGGAAGGCAGTCTCTGGTGTAGATCAATCAGTTTCAAAGACAATGCATACATGATCAGAGCTTGTTTGTTTGCATGTTCGTCACAAGTACGTGTGGTTAATGCAGACTTGAGTCCTTGAAAAAGTTATATATTTGGTGTTTGAATATCTCAATATCTCCTGTTTTATTATTGCCAGAAAGGGTAAAACCAATTCTTAGTTTGCATACTTTGATACTGGCAAAAGGTCCCATAATACGTGAGGGAAACGTTGCATTGTAGCTGCTTCATAACCAGCCAGCCGTCCGGCCGGCTACGATACAAAATTCTGGAAAGATGTCAAAGGTTGAGGACCAAGATGGACGCTGTTCATCGCTGGGTTTCGAAATTATTCCACAACGAGCCCCTAGTGCTCCCCCTCGCTCGATCAACTACTGCACACTATTCTGCTTGAACTGCAGGATGTGTTGTTTTGTACTTTCCGTCACAAGAATCAGAAGCTGTATTCATCCTGGAAGAATCTGATGGGTCTACGAAGTTTTTTTCTTTATTTTAGTTTTGGTCACGGATGTACAAGGATTTAACGGCAGCGCACACCCCTGCGATCTGGTTTCAACAGAGGCAATTCGGTGGCGTCGATCGGCCGACAATAAAAGAGGCACCGGCCCTCGATGGTCTAAATGAGTGGGGCATGGCTACGAATGTGGCAAACAAAATCATCGTCGAGGAACCCAAGCGTGAAAGTGCCGGATTCTCGCTCTCTCTCTCTCTCTCTGTCGCACGATGGCTCTGGACCAAGCCGAACCGTGCTAGGACGCGGCACGGGAGACGTCATGATATCGTTACTCGTTGTGACGTAGTTACACGTTGTGACGCAGTTATATGCCGCAGCGCCATTGCATTCTAAGTTAATCTCTGATGTTAATTTCTCTCACCTTATAATTTTAAAAAAACATTGACATTAACATGACTCTTCCCCTTTGTAGAAACACTGTGCCTATCCTTGCGATATAATATATTTATTCAAGAAGATATCTTGGTTATATTTTTTATCATACATACAAAAATAACATGATCACATTTTTTTCGTAGGCCCTAGGCACAGTGCCTACTCTGCTGATTGGCCAGGTCACTTGTGAAAAAAATAACTATGTAGCTCAGTGGGCATTACCTGGTAAAATATGAATAGTTTGTTGAGATATCCTCGCCCTGTGAACCGGCCACTTGGTGGAGGGTTCCCCTTGGCCAGAGATGCTCGCTGTCGTTTCCACATCACACAGCAACATTCGCATTGCCATGACAATCAATACGAAACTAATTAAGTTGGCGATGCCGCCCCTGCGTTGCCAGTGGTGCACAATCACAATTAATAGTAATATTTTTTTTAAACCTTGACACGTTCCTCAATAACAGTATTTGTGTCCTTCAAAGGAAAAAAAGCTAATGATAGGCGACGTTTCGGGGCTGCGGCCCTTCCGAGGCCTCGCACATCGTATTTTTCAAGGAACCCGTTGACTTTTTCATCAAAACAACAAACAGCAAGACTCTCCCCTGTGGGCTGATATACTGTGCAGTGGCCAGCACAGTGGCCTCTGTCTTAGTGTCCCCAGAGTTCGGTGGCTAGGAGATGTTAACTACCTCACCTGGTATACAGGAGGTCATGGGTTCGATCCAGACCCTGACGCCAGCTGTATATTTGGAGTTTGCATGTTCTCCCCGTGGCCTCGTGGATTTTCCTCCGGGTTCTCCGGTTTTTCCCTCCACATTTATAATCAAGATCACGCGTTTAGAGTATTTGTTTGCTATAAATTTACACTTGATAAGCCACTTTGTTGAGCTGTCATTTGAAGCCAGGTCGCTTCTTAAAAATAAGTTCATAGCTCAGTGGGCTTTACCTGGTAAAATACAAATAGTTACGTTTTTTTATTGTTATTTGCTTACCTTTTCCGATACTTTGCACTGCTACCGTGTTGTTGCACTGTTTGTTGTATGAACGTTCTGACCTCGTGCACATCCTCATAGCTCATCGGATTCTTCCAGTATATTCTGATTCACATCCCTAACTTTTGCTATTAAATTCATGGGAAAGAGCAATTTCTATTCATGAAAACGTTGTTTTACACTCGTTTTTTGAAGGAGGCATCCCTTTGGTGAATCCAGAGACACCTGTACATTAAAAGGGGGGCGGGGGGCACTATATATAATGGATGCTTAGGGCCTCCCCCCACCCAATGGGCCAGCACCACCATTGCCACCCGGCTGCCTGAGCGGCTGTTGGCATGCCATGTGGCAGCGGCGAAGGACTTCACCGCAGAGTCAAACCACCGTGGCTCCACATCTGTCTGCGGTAGCGGCAGTGGGGTAATCATCAGATCTTGTTTGTGCCAACGCGAGAGTGTGTATAATTATTTTGTTTTAATCGCCTGCCACCGCGGTCAGAATGTGCCCCGTGGCTGCCGTGGTCTGGGTTGTGTTTCGCAAAGTCTATCCTGGGCGAGGCACCCCCCTCCCCCCCCCCGTGGGAGACCCACGTATACGGGACGGTACGTGTGTGCGCGCTTTGTGTGCGTGTGTGCGCGCACGTTCGTGCGAGCGCCGGCGCCGGAGGAGGTAACGAGAAGCAGAGTGGCGGCGGCGCCAGCTCCCCGCTCGTGTTTCCCATGACCTTCGGACGCGGAGCGTTGCGAACCGTTGCGACAGATTTCTGTTGACGTTTCCACATAAAATTAAGCAAACTTACTCTTTTTATTTTACCAGGTAAGGGCCCACTGAGCCCTGTATTTCTTTTTTCAGAAGCGACCTGGCTATCACAAATAGCAAAGTGGCTTATCGCGTGGAAATTTATAGCAGCTGCCAAATCCTCTAAATGCGTGATGTTGATTCAAAATGTGGAGGAAATTAACCGGAGGACACGAAGAAAAATCCACGCGACCTCCTGCAAACCAGGCGAGGTAGTTAACATCTCGCCACCGTGGGGCAGATTCACGCGCACAGCCACTCTGTCAGTCCGCTGCTGGATCACAGCTAAGCCCAGTGCAGCAACAGATTTTTTCCAGCAACTGATTTTTGATGACGACGTTTGTCCCGCAGCTGTAACCCATCGCACCTGTGTCATGCACCGTGGTCGTCACCCATCCATCCAATTTTCGTGCAGGCTCAGTCCTGCTGAGACGAAGCATAATAACTGGATATCTACTCCACTGTGAGGCGCGCAATGAGTGGACGCTCGTTTCAGTCACGGGTTGTTGTGCAGAATCGAGCCAGGCAGGACTCGCTCTGACCAGAAGGAACCAGGCACCCACCGCACCGATGGTGAACGATGCACGGCATTTACTACCCCTATGGGGGGCATAATGAGTGGGGGGGGGGCGCGGAGGTGCAACCAGATTCTCGTGGGAGAGGAGACTTCGACCGTGAGAGTTGGGCAGCGATCGTCGCGGCGTTCGAGGCATTGGGGCCCCATGTTCACGGGTGCCCCCCGTCGAGTAGTAAACCCCTCGTGTCTCGCCAGGGGGTTGTAGCACCGCAAAGACAGCACCCCCTCCCGCGGCGTTACCACTGAGAGGGGGCCTGTGTCCCCTCGATCCAGCCCTGGACGAGCGCTGGTCCGTGCTCGTCGCTCGCTGCCCTGAATCATCGATCTGATGAAGCAGCTCCGCTTGATTTTGTTGGGGCCAGGTGAAAACTGAAAGAGACCAAGGATGAGTCTCATTTGTTTGAGTGACCCGGGGCATCATTCTGCCAGTAGAGGGCGATGATTGCTGCTGTGTGAGCAATTTGCGGATATGTAATTTTCCAAACTTGGTCCCTGGTGCCGACACGCAATGGCCTCCTCTTGCGAGTGACGTCAGGGGATATTTAACGTTCACTCGCATTGTTACTCCTGCGGTGGTAATTGCACACGGTGGTAATGATCATGATGATAATCATATAACTGCGGGTGTTTTTATAATTTTTTATTCACTTTATTTTTATTTTTCTATCTACGTGACTTTACCGAAAGAACCAAAGAATATAATATATATGCTTTGGAAGCCAAAGTGCTAGGCTTGGTCAATTTAAATAACAGGCGAAATTCCACGATTGTTCATTGGTGGTTGAGGAGGGCCCGGTTCTCCCACGAGCTGTGGACATCCAAGCTCATTTCAAGTGACCGGTGGCTTGTGGACGAGCCAGTAAACTAAACTATTTTTGTTTATTTTACCAGATGTAAGGCCCACAGCCGTGTGGCTCTTTTTCAGAAGCTACCTGGTCATCACAAAAGACAGCTCAATCAAGTGGTTTGTCGCGTGGAGATGCATAGCAGCCAAATACTCTAAACGCGTGACGTTGTTGATTCTAAATGTGGAGGGGACTCTGAGAACAATCAACACGACCACTGGGGAGAGATGGAGAGAGGCACGCAAACTCCAAATATACAAGTATCGGATTTGGAATCGAACCCACAACCTCCTCCACATCAGGCGAGGTAGTTAACATCTCGCCACCGTGGCGCCCCAATAACACGCCAGGGACAGAGAAAACACGGGTTGGATGGTGCAAATTGTACGCGTCATATTGGCCGTCAAGGAAATAATATAACACGAAAGAATCATTCGCGTCTTTGTGGAGAATATAAATATCAAAGTATCACAATCAGAATAATAATTTTATTATCTGAGTAAATCACACATTGAGCTACGCAGTTCTTTTGCAAGGGTGACTCGGCAAGTCGACAGACACGGCAGCGAGAGCTCATAAACAAGATGTTAAACATTAAAAATATAAAGTGAATAAAAGCAAATAATCTCAGGAAACAATTACAGTACTTAAATTCGCATTTGAAAAATAGATAAGCAGACGATACAGACTCATTCACATATCCCTTCCCTCGCCGTAAAATAAAAGTACAGCGTCACCCCAATGTACGTCTCTCCCCTTTTACGTATTTTCGCAAATGCGTCATCGCTTTAGTATCGCCTCAACCACCACACACGCTCTGAACGTCGCTGAAAGCATTGTCCCCTCCTTTCTCGTTATCCGTCGCCTCTCAGCCTTCACCACCACCTACCACTACCTACCACTACCCGTGTTAAAACCGCTTCGATTGACATCGTCTCGATATTCGTCGTCGCACATTTCAGGAACGCATCCCCCCCCCCCCCGCGTAAACCGGGGAGGGAGAGATATCTCTGCTTTTATTAACGCAACCAATCGGTCCCAGGGCCTGATCTCAACCAGCTTGACTGCCGACGAAGCACTGCACGTCGAAACCGGTCCAGGGTTTTGCTTGCACTCAATGTCAACGCTGCTGAAGTGATGTGCTCCCAGAAGGCCGTGGCACCGATGATGGATTGGCAAAGGATCCTTTTATTTTATTTGTTGTATGTGGCGAGACGGAGACCGGAGTGGGCTTGGGCTAGAGCACCTCGCTCCAGGGGAGGATCTCAGATGCACAAGACGAAGGCCAGAGTCGTCGCGCTGATTACACCCACACAGTGCTGGGCCACAAGTGGACCACGATGCGTTGGCTGATCTCGTCAAAGAGCACAAACCACCATCACGCAAACTCCGGTCGTCTTCACAGCAACAGCGGCTTCCTGGCTGGTCATCGAACAAAAATGGTTACCGCATCGCGCAGCGCTTTCAGATGAGCTTCTGCGGCCATCTGGAACGCTCTCCTTTCCGATATTAGGAAGACAATTGGAAACACTGCGCTTTTTTATCATCTAGGTTGAGAACTAATTTCTTTGAAGCTGCCTTTTGTATTTAGTTTGTCCTTTCACCACATCTCTGATTAGCACGGTTGTATACGTATGGTGCGAAAGAAGTTAGATGGATATATACGTACAAAAGAGGGAACGCATCCGAGAGCAGCAGAGATAGAGCGATAGGAATCGCCTCGTGTGCAGGTGCTGTCTGGACGTGTGCATCACGGGACTGAGAGATCAGAATTGGAATCTTTATTTATCCTGGAGCAATCCGATGAGCTATGAAGCTCTTTCTCGCAGATGCTTAGTAGGGGCACGGTGTCAGAACGTTACAGAACGTTACAACGAACAAGATAAAAAGACGACTGGTGGTGGTGGGTGGTGGTGGTGATTTCTTTCAAGGATCCCAGCTGGTTGTGGCTCAGTGTCCTGACATTGGCATTCACCCCCAAAGTCACAATCTCCTCCAAATGTTTGCAGTATGGATATATAGACAATATATATTACCATTTGACCCACAATTGCACACTGTCTCAAATAGCAGATTTTAATTGATGGCAATTCACACAATCTGTGAGTAATAAAAAAACTATTATGTTTCCACAAAGCGCATATTCATTCGTGTTTTCAGTAGGTCGGGAATTCTAGCCGATTGCACAACAGTGAGGGAGGGGGGGAGAGGCGTTATGAGGAGAGCAGTGGAGGAGGGTGTTATTAGTGGGGAGAGGGGGGCGTTATTAGTGGGGGGAGGGGTAGTTATTCTTGGGGAAAGGGGGAGCTTTATTCGTGGGGGGAGAATGGGTTATTCTTGGGGGAGGGGTACTCGGCACGTAGCCCCCCCCCCTCCCTGCAGTTCCCTCTTTAAATAACCACCACGTGGCATCCGAAACCACGCGGCAAGCCCCTGGCGTGCCGCCCCTGGCTGGGACCCGCCGCCCACGGCCCCCCTCCTCCTCCTCCTCTTTGCTAAATTGTTTCAACGAATCTCCTCCGGGATGCCGCGATCGCGTTTCGGGTTTTGCGCGCGAGCGTCGCGTGCCGTTGTAACAGCTATCCCCGCAGGAGGAGAAGACTCCTCTCTGTCTCTCTGTCTCTTAAAACAATAAATAAGAGGCAAAGCCAACGTAAACACATAACAACTCTTGTGTTTGTGCTTATTTTAAACAAGTATGAAAAATATATATACCAAAAAAATATACATTTCCACATTGTGTTGTTCTGTAAGCACAAAGGATATGAATCGGTTGGAAAAGCAGCAGCAAAAGGGCGTACGGACGGGACGACTGCGAGTCAAATATTCCGGCCGGGGTCAACTCAGTTCAGTAACAGCAGCATCATCAGCATCAGCAGCTTCCTCGGCAAAAGTAGTAACAGTATCAGCTTCTCCATACCATTTGGTTCTTTCGGTAAAGTCACGTAGGTAGAAAAATAAAATAAAACAAAAAATAATATCACGACGTTTCGATCGCAACACAAGCTGTCGTCCTCAGGCGGAAAAAATCATCCAGCAGTGGAACTGCTGGTTCATCAGTTCCACTGTCGTCGTGATTTATTATTTTTTGTTGTATTTTATTTTATGTTTCTACCTACGTGACTTTACCGAAAGAACCAAAGAGTATGGATTCCTGCAGTCACGAAAGCTTCAAATCAAGATTGAGCTTCTCCATATAGAGGTTTTTGGGTTAGATTACGTAAATATGAATGTGTCGTTAAATCCGCCACCACCCGATACAGCCAATTAGTACAAGTTTGTCACGTAACAAAACGTGCCAATTCGTTGCTGGTACAGCACACCGGTGTGTTGGAGAGTAAAACCCACAACATTTACAATTCGAGTGTTAAAACTGAGTATTAGCTTCATCATCAATCTTATCATAATCGTCATTAACATCATGATAACGACCATCACCATCAGCAGCAATATCATTAGACGCATCAGCATAAGCTTCATCTTCAAACATCATCATCACCACCATCATCACTCAGAGGCCGGTAAAATCGGCACACCTCCTAGTTAAGGCTGCTGCGTCACTTGGTGGGACAACAGTTGTGTCCTTTGGATGGACTGGTTCCCTGCCACAGGAATGTGGAAATGTCACCACTGACTCGGGATGTCCCACGGAGATTGTGCTGAGTGCTCCGATGAACTCCTCCACAACTCGACAAAAGTTGTTTATATAATTTCTTTGCAAACATTTGCAAAACGCGTCATTTTGAGGAGCGGGGGCTTTGCTTTGCTTGCGATCCACCGCAGTGGAAGCCCCGCCGGGTGCCGCTATTCACGGAGCCTGCCCTGGGAACTTGCAGTGGCGTCCAGGTCCGGCGCAAACATTCCCCAAATTCCCTTGGCAGAATTCTCCCGATTCGTAATCTCACGCTCGCTGACGATCCCCAGCGACGATGGTGGCAGGGCGGGTCACGGGAGAAGTCGGCGCTCGCAGGAGCTTTAAAACAAAACAAATACTTATTTTTTAAATATTTTTCCCCCACGATTTTGTGCAATTTAATAAATGAAAGAGGATATTATTGTTTATTGAAGGTGTTTGTAACGACCACACGAGCCAGGTCACTGCGCATGCAGTGAGCGCCGTGCGGATAAATTGAGTGGCGCTTTGGCGCATACCCGCGGACGCTCATGGTTTCTCTTGAGATGATCGCGGTGTAGATCCTGCCGCGTGTTTTTGACACCCCGAGGACAGCCGGTGGACTCCACAGCCGCCGCGGTGCCACCTTCATCGCTTTCCCAACGAAGGGTGAAAGCGTCCCCCCATATGCGTCAGCCCTATTGTCTGTCCATAGCGGGATGGAGGGGCACAAGGTAACGCTCGTATGAAGATGATTCAATCAAACATATCAAGTAAAAACTGTCATTACTATACTCTTTGGTAGAAAAATATTATTTTATATATTATTATTTATTTTTCTACCTATGTGACTTTACCGAAAGAACCAAAGAGTATGGATTCCTGCAGTCACGAAAGCTTCAAATCAAGATTGTCTCATTACTTTTCATTTATTTACTTTTCTTTACGACTTACCTTTCTTACATGGTTCGTTGCGCACGGTCGCACTTATAATGTGCACGCGGTGGCGATTTACTTTGCTCGGTCGGTGTTCGCCGCTGAGGTTGTGACGGGTTTCTATCTTCATTCCTGTTACTGCTCCGTGCTCGCTGCACCGTTCCCGTTCTGCTGTAATGTGCACTCATGCCATGCAAGCCAAACGACTGACCACGCAGTAAGCCACTGTAGTCTGCACTCCTTCAATGGAGGAAGAGGAGGGCGACAAGCAGACCTCGTTTAACGCAGTAGTAGATGCATTGCTGAAAAGTGCCGTGGTAATCGAAAAAAACGATTTCCCCATAAATAATGCAACGGTAAAGTTTGGCGAGAGACGATGTACTACTACCCACACACTGCGAGATTGCTGGAGGGCAACACACCGTGTTACTGTATCATTCCACGTACTGTATCACTGTACCGCTGAGCGACGCAGCTGAAGAAAGTAGTCTGTCGTTGACCGGTCAGAAACCGCATTGTAATGGCGCGCGTCCCGTGGTACAACGGGGTGGGCGCATTCCGCCTCATAACGACGCGCGTTCTACATCATAACAGCACGCGTTCCGTGTTATATCGGCACGCGCGTTCCGCGGTATAAAGGCGCGCGTTCAGCGGTATAACGGTGTCCCTAATGGAAGGAATCGAGCATTACAGCGAAAACGCATTCCAGTGTAAACACCGCAACGCATGAAGCGAGGACTTGCCGCACACAAACTCTCTCTCTCCGGAAGCCCCACTCATCGTGGCGGTCAGGATTCGACATTGGCATCCAGCTCCTGAGCACACTGCCAAACACAAGAATAGAAACAGCGACAGCAAAGAATTTGCAAACGTTATCCAACACTTGCCTGCATCGGTTGGAAGGGCTTGACCCTTAATTCTTCACGGCCATCTGTCTATCCATCACAAAAAGGCTGTTTAGGGCGTTGGTGGGGGCAACGAAAACCTCGGAATCCCCCGATCTGAACCCTGCATTTAGGTTGACAGTGGAGACCTGGGCTGTACTTTGGCCACTAGCTGGAGATGGAGAGACAAAAGCGTATTTCCAGATGCATGGAAAACATGCGCGTGTTGAGCCTGTGCGGTAAATGTGTAGCGGTTAGCGACGCTGCACGACGAACCTGGCCACCAGAGTTTCATTTCGGCTCACGGCCACCAACACCAATGACGATTATTTGAAGCAGTTGTAGGCCTCCCCTAGGTCGACTCAAAAAGAGCATCAGGCGAGATGTGTAAATGTTGCCACTGGGGAGACAAAGGCGGTCCGGGCATGATGTTTGCCACCCACCCCCTCGTGTGCTGCACAGGCCTTCAGAGGTGCTCGCTAATAGCACTTGTCCCAACAGTCTGTTAAGGCTACACGGGGGATCTTTGTCTTTTGTTGCTTGTGCATACAGTATTTATTTGACCGACGCACTGCAATCGATGTCCTCTCTACAGGCCGCACGCACGGCGCCGGGGGTGGCGATCGGAGGCGGATCCGACCGGTGCTCCGTCCGGAACGAGCACGTGGACCTCAACGGTGCAGCCTGGCTTTCCCGGCATGAGCGGCCGGCGCCAGGAGCCCCGGGGCCTCCTCGAGGGCCGCCGAGCGAGAGCTACACTCTCGACGAGCGCACAATGCATCCTGCAGCACTAGCGGTGGGGGAGTCAGCCCGGCCGAGCCCCGTCCGCGGTGCCGGCCGGGTCAGGCGGCTGGACAGCATCAGCGAGGAGGAGCGCGCAGATGTCGGTACCTCGCCGAGTGGGGCTGCAACGAAACGGGAATCGGGGGATCCTGGTTTGGCTGCCCGTGAGCCCAGCGTGAACTGGGCCGTGGGAGAAGAGGAGGAGCGTTCCATGGGTATGGCTGCCACAGCTGTAATGTCTGGAGGGGGTGCGTCGGTACCACCCGACAGTCCGCGAGGCGGTGCGATGGTGACGATCGGCACGACGGGCCTCTCTCGGTTCAGCGAGGACATCGCGAGGGCTGTGACAGAGCAGGGCACGGCCGTCGCTCACTCCCTACTCAACGCCCGCTGTCCCCCGGCCACTGCCGCCACGGAATATTCCCACGGCGGGAACAAAGCCGGCGGCCACGACGGCGTCGACGACGGGATTAGCCGGGCTGGCGGCGTGATGGAGGAGGAGGTGACAGAGGTGGTGGTGGAGCGAGCACGGCCGCCTGAGAAGAGCGCCGGGCCAAGGGGCACACGCTCCAAACGGCGCCGCAGGACGGCGCCGCCCGCCACTGCCGCCGAGCCCCCCACTAGCCCCGCAGGGTTCCGGATCGCCCAGATGGCGCCGTGCGTGTGCGCCGAAGCAGAGCTGCACCTCAAGGCTGGGCACGAAATCGCGAGCGCCTGCGAGGAGATCTCGCGGGCAATGGAGCGGTGCTCGCGGCCCACGGCCCCCGCGGCCTCCACCCCGCCAGGAGACGATCGCCCCCCGCCGCTTGAAATGCCCAGGTGGCAGGGACGAGGCCTCGGCGAGGTTGAGGCGGCACCGGAAGACAAAGCAACGGTGCCCGGGTGCGAATGGGAGCCCGGTGAGATCGCGGACCGAAGTCGAAGCCTGGCGGGACGCGGACGGCGATGGTGCCGTGGGGGCCCCTGCTTGGGCGAAAGATTCGGGAGGCGCCGGGAGTTTGCGAGGGCAAGAAGGCGGCTCGAAGGAGCGGACGAGCGAGGGGCAAGGTGAGGAAAAGGCAGCGGCAGCGTGGTGCGGGAGTGGAGGAACCCCTCGGGAGGATGAGCTGGGAAGCGTAGAGCAGACGGCCCTCGCGGTTCGCTCAACGCCTCGAACGGCAATGACTGCCGTCCACCTGGGGGAGAATGGGAGCCCCGTGCCGCTGGGTGGGCCGAGCGGTCACGGGGAGCCATCGACGCAGGCCGCAGGGACGCACGGTGGGTCGCAGCGGGCAGCGCATGAGGCAATCTCGAGGGCGGCCCGCCTCTCCGGCCTGTGCGGCGACATCGCGAAGCAGCTGCAGCACCAGCAGCAGAACCAACAGCAGCACCAGCAGCACCAGCAGCACCAGCTGAACCAGCTGCTGAACCAACAGCAGGAACACCAGCAACAGCAGCAGCAGAGAAATGCTCCTGAATGTGCCGCCCACGCCACGTCCGATTCTGCGGAGGGCCCAGGCGGTTCAGCCCGCGCTCCGGATGCTGCTGCCGGGCGGAAACGTGGCACGGATGGAGTGGCGGGAGCAGCGAACCGGCCAGGAGAGCGCAAGGGGAAGGTTTTGAATGCAGGGGCGATTTCTGAAGTTGGCCAAATAGAGGACAACGACGGGCGAGTGGATGCGAAGGAGAACTACAGGAAGGGCTCAGCGGGGACGGGTGGCGGAGATGGGGGCACGCCGCATGGGAGTGAGGGCGGGCGGAGGTTGGCGAGGGAAGGCGCGATGCCGAAGCGGCAGTACGTGCACGCCGGTGGTGGCAGAGGGGCAGAGGAGGGGAGGCTGGACACCAGGCCGGCCGTTAAGAAGACCAGGAATGTGGAAACGAAGATCCGTGGAGAGTCGGAGGGCCTCACGCCGAGACAGAAACGGGGTCAAGGTTTTAGAGGAAGAGTCGGCCCACTGCACATTGATGACGAGCTGTAGTTTCGAGTTGACGTTGTTGAGCCCGGTGAGGTCTTAAGATTTTGTTGAGCTCGGTGACATCTCGAGATTTTCTTGAGCCCCGGTAAGATCTCCGAGATTTTGTTGAGCCCGATGAGATCTTGAGATTTTGTTGAGCCCGATGAGATCTTGAGATTTTGTTGAGCCTGGTGAGATCTCAAGAGACCAGGATAGGAGTCTCACTCGCAAGAGTGCGGCCAGTAGGAGGCAAAGATTTCCATGCAGTGTCCCAATTGAGTAATTTGCGATGTGAAATTTTGACCCACACACACCGGCACTCTTGAGAATAACATTGGCGGGATCTTTAACGTCCATTCGGAAGCAGATGGCGGCATGTAGCATTGTTGTGGTTAACACGCATTACAGTATTAGCCAGGGTGGCCACTGGATTCTAACCGTGACACCTCTGCAACAACAAAAGGCAAATGCGCTACCGCAGGGGGTACTTTTAGATAATTCCAGTAATTGTAATACAATGATGTTTATCTTTCGCCCAGCTAATCAAACTCCTGTAGCCATGATCATGCCATTAAATTAATGGCAGTGCATACAATCTGACGATGGTGATTCATGACTAATCAACGTGTGGTGGCCTCTCAGAGGAGCAGTGATTTATGAACGATGCAGTAAAAGAGGTTTCTCTGCTTTCGTGTTATCTTCAAAACTCCCATTGGTCACGAGGCTTCTTATTTTGCAAACAAGTTTTAAAATAGCGGCTTCTCCATCAGTTCACTCTGCTTCCTGACGGTCGTCTTTAGCTACTGAACGACATTCCTGGTCGGAATATTCGATACTCATAACCGTGGGCCATGGTTCTTCCGTGCCCCACCTCCACGCAAAGCGACGGTGGAGATCGTTGTCTAAGGGTGATGATTTGAGTTCGCTCATCGCGCTTGCGTCAGGTACTGTGTGGCAAAGCACTTCTGCGCCACCGCAGGGGTGGTGCAGAAACGACGCCAATGGAGGGCAGCGCCAAGGGCAGAAAGGGGAAACCGTTGGGAGGAGAGATTAAACAAATGAATTACAAAGTGACGAGTTGCTCAGAAACTTAAACGGAGGCGACGAACAAAATGCCATGCAAAAGTCTCTCTCCCCGTGGTCACGTGGATTTTTCTCCGGGTCCTCCGGTTTTTCCCTCCACATTTAGAATCGATGTGCGTTTTCGAGTATTTGGCTGATATAAATTTCCACGCGATAAGCCATTTCGTTGAGTTATCATTTTTGGCCAGGTCGTTGTTGAGTAGATTTAGTTTTGTCAGTGTATAAGGCGCATGCAAGCCTGTCTCCAGGCGGTTCATGTCAATCGGGGAGAAAACGAGGGAGCAAGAAGGGATGGGAAGTGAGGACGAGGGGAGAGTGAGAGAGGGAGGGAGGTAAGTGAGGAAGGAGGGAGGGGAGATGGGAAAAGAGTGTGAGGGGAGAGCGAGGGAGAGAGGGAGGAGAGATGGGAAGGGAGGACGAGGGGAGAGTCAGAGATAGAGGGAGGCAAGTGAAGAGGGAGGGGGGAGGTGTTAAAGGAGTGCAAGGGGAGAGCGAGAGAGGCGATGGAGAGAGGTGATGGAGAGAGGTGATGGAGAGAGGTGATGGAGAGAGGCGATGGAGAGAGGTGATGGAGAGAGGTGTGGGAGAGAAGGGAGAGAGGTGATGGAGAGAGGCGATGGAGAGAGGCGATGGAGAGAGGTGATGGAGAGAGGCGATGGAGAGAGGCGATGGAGAGAGGCGATGGAGAGAGGTGAGGAGAGAGGTGAGGGAGAGAGGCGATGGAGAGAGGCGATGGAGAGAGGCGATGGAGAGAGGTGAGGGAGAGAGGTGATGGAGAGAGGCGATGGAGAGAGGTGATGGAGAGGTGAGGGAAAGAGGGAGGAGAGATGGGGAGGATGATGGGAGATGGAAATGAAGGACGAGGGGAGAGTGAGCCAACATCTTCAGGGGCTGGTCAACGTGCTCGTCGGCTACGCCAAGCTCGCCATGTACAGGGCGAGGAAGGTGGCCATGGAGGGGAAACGTCCGGCCAGCAGCCTGGGCATCTTCCGCGCTCTGGTCGGAGCCCCAGGATGTGTGAGCTGGAGTTCCGGCATGCGCGGCTGACCCACGCCGTGCCGGCCTTCAAGGAGCAGTGGGCGCTGGAGGAGGCCGTGTGCTCGGTGGCAGAAGATTGAGAGCTCTGCATGCAGTTATGAGCTACCGTCGGAGGCCGTAGGACTGCGAGAAGGGCTGGGTGCAGATGCAGCACTTGTCGTAAAAATATTACATAGAAAACATAGGGGGTCATAGACATCGAGGAGGGAGAGGGGGGTGTAGAGAGAGAGTGGGTACAGAGAGGGAAGGTGTAAGAAGGAGGAGAGCAGAGCGTAAAATCTTTTGTGAAATCTTTCATTTGAAAAGGGGGGGGGCACATAAAGCAAAGCATTGAAAAAAAACGAAATTATGAACGAAGCAAAGTGCCGACTACACTGAGCATCTTCTTGTTTCCTCTGATCGTAAAAAAAAAGGAGGCGAGGGAGAGAGGAGGGAGGGGAGATCGGAAGGGAGTGCAGGGGGAGAGCGAGCGAGGGAGGGAGGGAGGGGTGACACCGTGGCACGGCGCGGGCCCGGCGAGGCCACGTGCAGGGGGACGATGGGGCCCACGAGGGGCGGCACCGACGAGTCCCGAACAGATAAAGCCCGGAGGGCCGACGGAGTCCAATTTGGAGAAAGCCCCGATTTTACTTGTACGAAATCAATCAATCTTCCATGTACGCGCCAATATCGCCCTCAACAAAGTAGTGCATCGGTGAATATTAAAGCAGAACGGAAACGGTGCCGGGGGGGCGGGGCACGAAGCAGCAACAGGGATGAAGAAAGGAACCCCCGTCACGACCTCAGCGGCTAGCGCCGACCGAGCAAAGCGAAATGGCAACCGCTCGCAATAATAATGTATGACCTTGCGCAGAGAATAGCGTGAGAAAAGTAGTAAATAAAGTTTAAAAAAAGTAAAGCAACCGTTTATTTATTTTAGATTTTATGGGAAGGCGAGTCTGAGATGAGCGAAAGTCCCACCACCCACTCGGCCCAGCTCGCCACGACACCCGCAGTGGGGTGAAGCGTGGGTGGGCACCCTCGCTCGTTCCCAGCGGCACGCTGCGTGGACGTCGAGGCAGAGCTGTTTCTCAAACTTGCTTTGGGCCCCACTCAGCCGATTGAAACTTTTCCGTGGACCACCCCAGCTCCCACACCCGCCACCCCTGGTGACAAAATGCATTCACTTCTCTCTCTCTCTCTAAATACCACTCGAACAACAGCGTGATTCATATTATTAGAACATTTAAAAATATATAACAACGCTGCTATAAGGTTTTTTTTTAGGGGGGGGGCATTTATATCTTACATTCAGGGTCGTTTAATCAGGGCAGTTTACCTAATTTCAATGAAAATTAAATATCATCAATTAACGTCCGAAACAAAAGGCGTAATGAACGTCATTATTCTCCGGGTCAACCGGCGTTTGCGTCAAAGCCATCGCGCATCCACCCTCGAGGACGGTCGCTGGTGGTCTTGGCTCCCACCGGTGGTACCCAGGGCTCCCACCGGTGGTACCCCGGGGTTCCCCACTGGTGGTACCCAGGACTCCCACCGGTGGTACCCAGGGCTCCCACCGGTGGTACCCCGGGGTTCCCCACCGGTGGTACCCAGGGCTCCCACCGGTGGTACCCCGGGGTTCCCCACCGGTGGTACCCAGGGCTCCCACCGGTGGTACCCAGGGCTCCCACCGGTGGTACCCAGGGCTCCCACCGGTGGTACCCAGGGCTCCCACCGGTGGTACCCAGGGCTCCCACCGGTGGTACCCCGGGGTTCCCCACCACACTTTGAGAAGTGCTCGCACACTCGCGACGGCGCTCCAACTCGCAGCGCCAGCGAGAGAAGCAACGGCTCCTGCAGGAAGTCGAATAGCAACGTGGGGGTCGTCGATGGCGCCTTGAGCCAATCGCCGAGAGAGAGAGAGCGAGAGAGAAGCTTGTCCCGTGTTTAAAAAGGTCTACATTTAGTTACAGTTACCAAAATTACCATTACGGAATATAAAAAATAATAATATATTTGATATAGATGTACGTACATCACTTGAGCGACAACGATTATGCATCGGTAAAAAACATAATGATGATTAATATTGTATTTTAGATGACCGTTTCAGCCAAATTATGTTTCTATTTGCACGTGTGACACAAATTCCCAGCGACAATTAACGACGCTGTCCGTCAATTCTAACGATCTCTCTGCAACAAGTGATATTGTATTCCCTGAACATTAAAATCCACGATACAAATGAAAACTGTCCGTGGCTTCGTGTGAGAACGCCATTGTTTTACTGGGCAGTGATTGTGTACACACTACAACAATTTACACTGGATTGTATGATTGTGTTCCTTACGAAAGTATGTATGTATGTCAAACCGAGAAAAACATTCGGTCTTGGTCACATACGGGGCAGCATTGGAGACTGGTGGAGGAACAACTGGGGAACGCAAACATCATCCTGAACATACGCCTTGTCGCACATCTCATCACCATCACCAACCTGGCCAGCAGGCGGCTCATTGCCCTGCAAGCAGTGGGGGGTACCTATGGGTCTCTGTGTGAGTCTATGTGAATCTGTGGGTCTCTGTGTGAGTCTATGGGTCTATGTTTGTGTATGTGGGCATCTGTGTGAGTCTTTGGGTCTCTGTATGAGTATGTGGGTCTGCGTGAGTCTGTGGATTTCTGTGCGAGTCTGTGGGTTTGTGTGAGTCTATGGGTGAGTATTTGGGTCTATGTTTAAGAGTGTGTGGGTCTGCGTGAGTCTGGGTTTATGTGTGAGTCTATGGGTGAGTATGTGGGTCTATGTTTGAGAGTCTGGGTTTCTGTCTGAGTCTATGGGTCTATGTGTGAGTATGTGGGTCTATGTGTGAGTATGTGGGTTTATGTGAGGTCGTGTCCACTGCGAGCGTGTGAGTGGATGTTCCCTGATGCCAGCAGCTGGAATTACGACCGAGACATCCATTTACCGATGCTACTCTCATCATATCCAGATAAAAGAGGAATCGGTTTTACCTTCCACGGTTCCCACCATAGGAAAGTGTACCTCTTACCACGTGTACGACAAGTACTATCCAACATTGGTGAGAGTGTCAAGACACCTTTGAGAAGAGATTTAGAGACCTATAATCGGAACCAGGGCACAGACCGACTTCCTTCGTACAAAGGCAAAGTTCTCCCGTATAGCCTGAACAGACTTTGGGGAAATTCTGGGTGGCCAGCACCACGCCCTGCCGCATTTTTTCTCCCGAGTGGCGATGTTTACACACCGCACCAGATACTAATTTGAGGATAAGTCGACCTCGGGGAGGTGCAGGACAGGTTTAGATAATCTCCACTGGTGTTGCCCGTGAGTGTGAATCGAACTCGGTTTGCTGGGTTCGGAGCGCAGCGCGATAACTGCTACGACATTACCGCTTCCTTTGTACACACACACACACGTCATGTTAGCTATGCGAGCAAATCAAGTGCAAACAAAAACCTATGACTAATGTCCTGTATTAGTTTATCTGCCAACAAAGTACATTTAGTATAAACAGTACAAGTTTTCTTACAATTTGCTATCTTCGCAGAGGAAACAAACCAGCAAAGCATTTACGATGATTCAGACTTTTTTGGAAATAAAAAAAAACTATCTTGTCTCTCGAAAATGTAACCAAATATGGAATGCTGTGGTTGTTTAATCACGAAGCTTTCATGCACAAAACCAAATCTTGGTTTGTTTACGGGATGGTTTATAAAGGCAGAGCTACACACCACGTGGACCAATCTGGATCCACTTCCCCACCACGTGGACCGATCTGGATCCACTTCACCACCACGTGCACCGATCTGGATCAACTTTACCCCCGCGTTCCCGCGAGATGACTTTGCAATTCTTCAAGAGCCTCCCACCACACGCCCACGGCGGTCACTGCACATGAGCGCACGTGTGACATTGGTTTGTCTATGCGCCTGCCTGCTGAACGCGTTCTCAGACAACTCACTAATTTAGAATTGATGTTTGTGTTTAGTTTGTTGTCCTTCCCCCGCACCTTCCTATTATCGTGATTGCGTAAGTAAAATTGTGTCACCATTGGAAGCTCATTTGCCAGTAAAAAATATGATAATTGGGTTTTTACCCTTCTATCTGGCAACAAAACTGACACCTTTTTTGCAAGGAGTCATGTTTGCATAGACCACAATACCTGCAGTCATAATGCAAACAAAAACATAACTCTGATAATGTCCTTGAAGTTGATTGGTCCACACCCGAGACAGCTTTCCCTAGAGCCTAGTCTCACATGGGTTGGACCAGATGACGCCAGATAGAAGGGTAAAAAACCAATTATCATATTTCTTACTGGCAAATGAGGTTCCAATGGTGTAAATGCTTACCCCGAGCTCTCATACTCTGAGGGTGCATTGACTTTGAGTTGTGCGCCTTTTGGCGTCATCTGGTCCAACCCATGTGAGACTAGGCTCTAAGGAAAGCTGTCTCAGGTGTGGACCAATCAACTTCAAGGACAGTGCATACATTATCAGAGTTATGTTTTTTGTATGCATTATGACTGCAGGTATTGTGGTCTATACAAACATGACTCCTTGTAAAAAAGGTGTCAGTTTTGTTGCCAGATAGAAGGGCAAAAAACAATTATCATATAATTGTGTCGTTAAACCCGCCACCACCCCACAAAGCCAATTAGTAAGGTTTGTCACATAAACAAAACATGACGATTTGTTACGACCGCACACACTGGTGTGTTGGAGAGTAAACCCACGACATTTATAATTCGAGTACGACGTTTCATTGGTGATTGCAATCAGCTTCGTCAGACGATTATCCAAAAAATAAAACATATTTTTTATGGACTAGCTTGACTACCCAGCTTTGCCTGGGAATTGGATTCACCACGCCCGGCCGCCTTTGTCCCCTCAGTGGCGATGTTCACACACCACACCAGTTACTCGTTTGAGGCTGAGTCGACCTAGGGGAGGCCCAGGACCGGGACCGGTTCAAATAATCGTCACCGGTGGTGGCCGTGAGCAGGAATCCAACTCGGGTCGCCGGGTTCGTAGCGCAGCGCGCTAACCACTACACTACCGCTCAGCCCACACACAAACGTGCGTGCGTCCATAGGTACACATACACGTGCTTGCTGCAGATACACACAACTTTCAGGGTGCGTACGGCAGTAAACAACTCAAATAATAAACCAATGCTGCGCGAAGAACGCCTGAGGCCTGCAACACATTTGTATGGCGCTTTACTCTCGGAGGGTTGGGGGAGGGATGCATGACGTCATCAGGCACACTGCGTAACGCTTCCGCATGCGGGTGATATCACAGATGTGACGTCACAGCTCACTTGCTGTGCAAAATATATCCATTATTGCGCCTCCCCCCCCAAAATACAAAAGTCTATTTTTATAATGTTTGCATGGTGCACAGTCTAGAAAGTG